ATTAAAATAAATTAATTAAAAATAAAAACCTAAATTGCCTCACCCTGCAAAAAAAGACTAATTTAAAAAATTAAATTAAAAAATACTGTCATCTTGTCCCCTAGACATTGGGCCTTGTCCAACTTCATAGGCCCAGCACCCATGAAGGTGGTCCTGCCAGATGGGATTTGGGTCAGAAACAGAGACAGGTTAGAAGTTTGGATGAGGTGGGGGCAGATGGTCTATCTTCGTGCACTGTATTGGGAATTTTTATTGAATTATGATCTTCCTTTGCCATCTTTTTTCATTAGCAACTCTATCGTACACATTTTTGGGAGATGGGTCCTCCCACAATCCTTAGTGCCCTACATGTATGATTTTGATGTGTGCCAAGGTGTGTTTGCTGAGATCACCAATGCAGGAGTAAGAGAGGGCTGCACATTGAATGTGATGGAGATGGAGGAGACAGAGTGGAGGTTCCCAGGAAGAATAGAACATCTCTCTAGGAAACAGATAATGAAATAGCTTTGGTGAGGTTATAAAGGAATTGTGAATTAGATGGAAACAGAAAACCCCTCTTAAGTGCACCAAACTGCCTAGTGCCCAGCCAAGGCAGAGAAACCAGTGGCCAAGCCCTTCCTATCTAAAAGTAGGGAGGCTGGTGGCGAGAAGGCTGCATCCCTCCCCAGCCAGTCCTTGAGAGTGCCTGGAGCCATCCTGAAGAAAGGTAGAAAGCCCTCTGAGGAATCCAAAGCTTCCAGGGGCCAGAGTTGCTGAAGGTATTGAGGACAGTATCTTAGCGGTAAGTTGAAGGCTGACCCCCACTCCAGCTTCTCACTGCAACCCAGCCTCTCCTGTCTCAGCTCTGCAGTCATGCAGTGAGCCTGCTGTGGAGACGTTCTGTGTTGGATGCTAGGGACCCATGGAGAGACAAGGTCCCCAGCTTTAAGATAGAGGAGGCAAGTGTGCAACCCAAGTGAGCATCACAACGCAGCTGGAAGTGGGCAAAAGCCAACATGTATTAGGCTCATACTTAAGCTCCAGGCACACTTGCCATGATTATCCCATCTGCCCTCTTCCCACTGTTTGAGGCAGGTACCATTATCATCACTCTCATTTGACAGATGAGGAAACTGAGATGCAGACAGTTTAAGTCACTTGCCGAGGTTCACAGAATGGATCTGTGGCACTGCCAGGAGTTGAAGCAGACATCAGGCTACAGAGGTGCTGTTCTTAATCCTTCCTGCCCTTGACATCCGCATAAGCCCCCGTGTGTACAGTCTCTGTAGACAGAGAGCCAAGAATGGAACAGTCAACACAAGCCAGGGTGGAGAATACCACAAGACCTCAAGAGTAGAGATATCATCTGAGCTTTTTGGGAAGCTTGAATACAAGCGCATAGAGGCTGATAGTGGGAGGAAAGGCATTCTGGGCAGAGAGGGAACTAGAAGTAGACTGGCTTTGCTAGAGCCAGAAGCTTTAGCTGGGTGTGCAGGAACAGGGTGGAAGCCACAGACTCCGCCTCACACTGAAAGCTGTGTGAAGTCGTCTGTGAAGACAGTGGTTGTTAATGTCTTGATGGGGACATGGTGGTGGACTAGGAGACCCAGGAAGTAAGTTCCTGAAGAGCCCCAAACGGTTTCCTCACCAACCGGGGTCCAGGCTCTCACCCTCTGACCTGAGGGTGTCTTTACAACATACATAGCCCATTGGGCCCCAAGGGAGCCCCATTCTCATCCCTAGGTGAACCTGATTATTCCTGTGGAAGCCCACCCCACAGGTCAGGGGGCCAGCCCTGCTGCCTTCATTGGAGAGGGTGCAGAGGATCTGTCCTGGGCAAGGAAGGCTCCTGCAGCCTCAGGAGGGCAAGCCAGCCAGGGGAGGATGCTGAGAACCAGAGGCAGGGATGGGGAGGACAGCACCAATGGGTGAGGGGGAAGGGGAAGAGGTAGTGGGGCTGCTCTGCCCTGGTCAAGGCTGCTTTCTGCCAGCCCTGGAACTGAACTGGAAGCAGCAAGGGTGATGGAGGCTCTCCCTCCCTATTTTCCCCAACCTCGCAGGGCAGGCTGGTATTTGTCTGCCTGGAATGCTGGTGGGAGTAGTCCCAGGGGTGCCTTCTCAGGGTTATTCTGCCCCGACAACCCCAAATTGGGGTGAGGGGCGCCAACTCCCCTGCTAGGCTGGGCCCCAGAGGTGCAGAGGACAAAAAGAGCCCTGAAAACCCAGCAGGGTGCATCCGTCCTCTTCGGAGACTGGCGGACCAGACCCTGAATTCCCTCAGAACTGTCCTGCCCTCTCTCTTCCCGCGATTCTCCTCGGACTAAGGTCATCTCTCTGCCACCAGCGTCTTGTCCTGTCATGCTGAACCTCCCACAGCGCGGCCTCCTGAGAGCCCCCCACCCCCACCCGGCGCTCCTCTTGCAGGCCCAGAAGATTCTTTCCTCTCCCATTTCGGCGCCTTAAGACTTTCCCAAGCCCATTTCTTCCTTTATTTCGCTGCAGCCCAGCGAGGGCGGCAAGATTCTCCCCATTTCCCAGATTTGACAGGCGAGGAGCTCGCCGTCCCAGGGCAGGGTGAGGGGGAGGTAAGTGACGAAGCCAAGGTCATCCAGTCATTGGCGGAACGCGGCCTCGACCCGGCCCTTCTTCTGCAGGCCCGCTGGAGCCCTGACAAGGCAGGCCCGGGCTGCTGGCCGGCGCCCCTCTTTTCTCGGCTGGCACTGAGGGCGGGCTGGCCGGAATGACAGGTGAGCCGGGGTAGGGGACGAGGTTGGGGGGCTGGGGCTGGCGCGAGGACGCCGTGGCGCGCGGGCTTGGGTGCGGCCGCCGGAGCCCGCTGCGGCGCCGGGCTTCCGAGGGCCCGCGCCCGGGGACACTATGGGGCCCGCGCCTTGGGCCCAGGGTCCCCGGCTGGCCCCGGGCGCGCCGGCC